CCTTAAAATAACCCACTTGTGCCTGGCATGTACTAGAGGAAGCAACGTTGACCATGAGCTGACAACTGCTGAAGGGTGTGATAAATACACTGGTTTTCATTTATAGGCTTGAAATTTTTGTAAAAAAAGTTTTGGAGGAATAATTTTTTTTGAAACTATAGCCTCTAAAGCTTTTATCATGACTCTTTTAGCTGTTATTGTAGAAAGTAAAGATAAAGCAGAAGGAGAAATCAAAATAACAGTATTAATAAATATTTAGGAATAAGATCACGAAATGCTATACTGTTTCTGGTGCTTTTCTCATAAGCAGGTTTTTGCCCCGTCTCTTTGAAAGCTGCCCTGGCTGTGCCGCTCCCGTGCGGGGTGTGGCTGTGCCCTGCCATGAACTGGTGTCTATGCATTTGCACCTGAGGGCTCACTTATAGGCTCCTCACAGCAGTCACGGCAGCCTGCAAGGGATCACCTTTTCCATCTGAGCACTGTAAACCTGACTGGCTTGAGTAGAATATCATTTCTTTTGTTAATTAAAATACCCTGAAGCAAACATGTCAAATGTTAATATTTGTATATTCTTGGTAATGAGTGTATGTATATTAAAATATCAGTTAAACATTCACTTTCTGAATTAATCCTCCCAAATTAAAAATAAGTTCTTGCCCAAAGTCCCTAATTGGCTGTCTCTTCCAAAATAACCAATTCCATAGTCCAAATCAGACGTGAAGGCAATGTCTCAGCTTCTGGGAATCTATCTACACCACTATGCTGTAGGATGCTAATTCTGTACGGGAGGATCCTCCTTCCTGACTCACTGTCCCAATCTGGAGTGAAGCAGAATTTTATATTAAGGACAGGAATTACTTTTCTTTTATCCCTCTGAACACTCTAGCCTGCAACTAAAGTCTAATTATGCTTAATTTGCTGGTTACATGATGGCAGTGTGCTGTGTCCACTACTTATCTAGTAGTAATAAGCTGTCTTTCAGTTTGACTGAGATAAAAAGGGGAGAAGGGCAGGAAAGAGTTCTCAACGTTTTTTTTAAACTCTCAAGCCTCATGCCTCAGCCTCCAAAGTGCTGGGATTACAGGCGTGCCACACTACACCCAGCTATAAGACAGATATATACCTACTAAAAAATGTTTCCTTAGCTAAACAAATATAAACTATTTGGAAGGAATGAATAAGAAAATACATCTGCTAATACATTAAATGGCTGACATCTAATATATGGGCAATGCTGATTTTTAAATACTAGATTTATCAATAATCCATGCATACTTTATATAGACAATGAAATTCCAATTTGCAAGATAGTCTGTACTATGTAACTGTGCACAAATGCTTACTTTCTCATCTATGTGGTATTTAGGTATTTATGTAGTATTTTAGACGTAACATGTATATTTATGGTTCGTCTCTTCCAGAAATCCTAAAAATCAACATAAGCCTAAGAAGTGAATTAATGTAGAAAATTGTGATTACAAGGAAAAAACTTCATTTTAAAGCACTTAAAAATGAGCTATTGCATTCTTATGTTTATTTCTCTAGCCAACAGTACAGAATCCTATAATCTAAAAAAAATTCTGCTGTTCATTCCTATACATTCTAGTAATCTCGATGGTCTTTTTCTATCTAAATTAAAAGGAAATTCGAACAGAATTGCCTATGAAGGCAGTTAGTCTGTCAGGAAAATATTATTTTTGTTCAGAGATCTCTATATTTTGTCACATGAATTACATAACGTTTATTACAATGAGCACAGAGCAGTTAGTGAAACTTGGTAGCTTTGACTATAATTTACGGGAAGAGAAAACAAACATTACGAAAATAAAAAATGGTCTAAACGCTAGTTAACATTAAATCAGTTATGCCAACTGTAGTTTCCCAAGTGAATTCTGATGGTGAGGAATGTTACAGCGCATATCCTCTGGCTCTCAAGAGGCACTAAGATGTGCCACAGGAGAGGACAGTCATTACCCCCAGAAAATTTACCTAAAATATGCCCTAAGAACCACAGAAACTAAACAGTCAGTACTTAAGAAGTCTTCTACTTCAAACTGAGCTTCTCTTAGAACTATGGTTAGTTCCTATCAAACTTGCTTGCATTTGATCTAAAATGACCACAGTCCTCATGTTGTAATAGGGCTTATACATTTTAGCTCTTTTGATAACCTTCAGCTGACTATTATTTCTCGGAAGAAGGGGAAATTAAAATGAGAAATGTTCTAAACGGGATCTGACCCAGGTGGAACAGAGTGGGGCAGTTATTCTCCTATGGCTCTCATATGTCACACTCCTCAAGATTAGATCAAAAACTAGCAACCATAATGACTTACCCACCTATACCACAGTCACTAAGTGATCATTTCAATAAAATTCTCTAAGAATGAGGGCTGCTGATTGATTCTTAAAGTCAGCTGGGTTGCTAAGACTACCATAGTAATGTTCTAGAGGAAATATGATTAATTGGAGGAATAATTCTTTCATAAATAGTTTTTAAAATCTGCCTGTAGGTAAAGAAATAAACCAACACTAAGCAAAGCTAGTTGGCTTTTAGTGAACTTTATAGTTTCCAGACAATCTTTTTCTATCTTTTTGGGTACCCAGCTCACACTCTACTTAATGCAGTTACTGCTATTTAATTTTTCTTTTCAACCTCCTCACATTAAAAGAGGAAGGGATCTAATACCAGTTTTTATATTATTCATACACATATAATTTCTAAATTTTTAAAAAAACTTTTATTCTGATTAGAAACAGCTTGCCCTTGTTTAAAATTTAAAAACATAACCAAATGAATGTAATCTGAATTAAAACCAATCTTTCTTTCCCTGTGTGTTCTGCTGGCCTATACCAACACAGGAAGAGTCAGTCTACAGCTGGGAGAGCCTCTTCCTGAGAGCTGCTAAGGAAATGGACCACATCCCTCCTCACAAGGTCTTGGAAAACCTCAGTGGGATCCTGACATAGATAGACACCTCTTTCTCACTCACCCCTTTCATTTGCCTTCCCTTGTCCTTCTCATTCCCTACCACTGGCCACACAATAATCTCTATGAAAATTTCTGTCCCAAGAGTTCTAGGGTGTTCATATATGTATGTGTGTCTCTATAAATAACTGGGTATACTGTGTACTTTAATGAATATTTTGAAGTATTCTTCTGTATCATACTTTAATCTCTACTCATGTAACATAATGAACTTTTCTTCACTATTTCCATGTCTGGCAATAACATTTCTATAAAGAAGTATACTTCTAAGGAACTTCTTTTTAATTACTGGAAGTATTTTTCTATATCAAACTAAATATTCCTCATCTATTATAATTTGGTTTGGATTTCTAAGTCAGGAATTCTTAAAACTTTTTTTAGGTCATGGATTAATTGTTAAGAATAGAGTGAAAGCTATGATGTTCCTATAGAAAAGTATAATATACACAAAATTTTGCATATTAGTTCAGTTTAAAAAATTCTGAGGTCCATCCCTGAGCCTGTGGTTAAGAACATCTGCTTCAAGTAAATTTAAGAGCTTTTTTCTTGCTTCTGTTATTTTTCCTAAAAATGGGCTGATTCTTCAATTTCTAAGATTACTTATCATTCCATTCATTTTCTCTGATTATGTACAAACTAAAATTCCACCTATTTATTGGTTAAAGAATGCCTATAAAACAGAGTGCTTTCGTCCTATTTCAGTTCTTCAGGGAATGATTTGCTAGGCCTATCCTACACATATCCAGTGAAGACACAATCTACTTGTGTCCAATATACATTTCCAACTGCCATGGAACCTAGCTTAGGCACTGACATTGAACTTCAATGATAGATTATGACTTTATACTCTTATCTACACATGAAGCTCCTAATTTGGCAATATAAGTCACACACTAGCATTGATTATAATCTTACAATCACCCTCGCACATCAAAACTTAAGTTTCAAATTTTCCCAACTCTGCACTTACATTTCTATAAATATTCTTCCAACTCCCTACTTATAGGATGATGATAAAACATATGAACACATATGGAAATAAGCTATCTATCTGTTACCAATGGGTAGGTAATTTGAGCAGTGTTCCTCTTATCTTGAGGGCTTTTACAGCAATTATGATCTTTGTTGGGAGCAATTCATCACATTTGTAAGTTACTTACTATGTGATGAGGTATCTGACAAGGACAGTAAAACTAAATGGCCCAAAGTGATTAAATCGATATAGGCCTTATCAGTGCCGTGCTTTAACACAAACATCTTCACACATTTACATGAAGCTCCCCTCAAAAATCTACATCAAAAAAACTCAAGAAGTTAGAAAGACTATTCAATAAACATTTTTGCTGTTATTTATACAAATGACATAGGTGTAGTAAGATATTAAAAATTTATGTGTAAGTCATATCTAAATTATCAATTTCATCACTCAGAAATTTCATGTGGATTAATGATTTTGAACCTAATTCCATTTCTGTTACTACATATCTACCTAACCAAAGTGAGTATATGTTTATTCTTGTTGTTTACCCCTTAAGCTACTTTTACTCAAAGAGTGTTAGACAAGCTGGTGCCGGTGGCTCACACCTGTAATCCTAGCTACTCCAGAGATAGAGATCAGGAGGATCATGGTTTGAAGCCAGCCCCAGGCAAACAGCTCTAGAGACTCTATCTCAAAAAAAACTCTTCACAAAAAAGGGCTGGTGGAGTGGCTCAAGGTATAGGCCCTGAGTTCAAGTCTAAGTACAGCAAAAAAAAAAAAAAAAAAGAATATCAGACAATTGAATAATTATAGTGCCTGTATAGTGCCTGTAGAACATCATTTTTTAGAGATCTGTATCACTTGGTGAAAATAACCATTTTAAGTAATATTTTCATTTAAAAAATTCAGCATTAGAGTGATCTTTTCCCTATAATCACAAACTATGCAAACTATTTCTACTGTTTGGTTTAAATTAAATGTTAAAATATTCACATTGTCTTGAGGTAGTACTGAGTACTAATACATAAGTCTTACCTGTAATGTACATGTGTGACAGTTGGTTTCCTGTATCCAAGGATCCAGGTTTGAATATCTATCGGTTCAGCTTTGGGATAAGCTATGGTTGTATCTATTATCCACTGGAGGCCTTTTGATTTGCTCTCTAAGAACAAAGAAAAAATTACTTAAGGTTGGATCAGAGTTTATACTATCTGTACAATAAAACCATACAGATTACTTGAGCAGTGTGAAGTTTATCAATATACCTTTTACTTTAAGAAAATAGAATTTTGGCTTTATAATTGTATGTGAGGATAAAATTTTAAAATTTAAAATAAAGGATTTCTTATTATAAAGTGAATGATCTTTCAAACAAACAGAACACTATTACTTACTACACATGTCTATTCCAGTATTCAGTACAATTACGCACTATTATTTATATTTTATCATGCCTATAAAAATTGACCTATGGAAAGGTTAATTCATTTGTATGTAAACTAAAAGTACATACAAATAAAGCAATAAGTCTTCCTACCCTTTGGAAGAACTGATAAAGTGCTATGAGAGAAATGGGGAAGTTTTGTTTAGTCCCATGTCCTTTGTGCTCTGTTTTTATTCTCATCATGGAGTAAGTACAAAGCTGAGGAAGAATGAAGAGAAGAGCCCTCACAGAGAATGCTGATAGCCAGACTGTAAAGTATAATAATGGTCTGTTCTGTTTGAAGCACCCAAGAGATCAAAAAAAATCCAGAAACAACAAAACCCCTCATTTTCAAGCCTAAGTCAAATGTATAATAGAAATCAATAAATATTATTTTTGCTTGCTATACATTAAAAACTGGCCTTATATTCTTTAAAGATCTTAGAACAACATCCTGAAGAGGGAAACTCATCTGAAAAAGAAAAGAAAATTTTTCATTTAAAAATAACACACTGGCTGGGCATGGTGGGTCACACCTAAAACTTATCACAGCACTCAGGAGGTTGAGACAGAAAGATTGTGAGTTCAAGGCTACCTGAGCTATTTAGCAAGATTCTCTCAAAAACAAACAAAAAACCCTGTACTGTTAAAGGAATGTATTTATGTAAAAAAACACATTTTAATAAGCTATCAATGATATATATGATGAAATGTTTAGGGGTAAAGTTTACTGATTCTTTGAGATGCATTAAAAAAGAAAACCAAGGTGGGCTAATGGATGGAGAGAAGGGTAGAGAGAGATGTGATAAGGCAAATATAGCAAGATGTAATAGATTCTAGTTATCAGCTCCGGGACAGCACTGAAAATTCTCAGAATTTCATGTTTGGAAATTTTCACAATGAAATGAGGGGGAAAAACTCACTAGAGTTCAGCTTAATATATTTAATCATATAGTAAACACACAAAAGATACTAATCCTTTTAATGTTCATCAGAAAGAACTTAATCTGGATATACGTGCATGGATCATAGGTTAAAACAAATGCAAAGGCACAGTCTGTGTTTACAGGGGATAAAACACTAGTGAATGTGAACACTATGGAAAATAAAAGCAAAATACCAAAATATACAGAAGAAAATAGTGTAAGACAAATAAAACTAATTTTCAGGTATACCAATGACCTAAACAGCTAGAATAAAAATTTTAACTAGGGTAGGATAAATGATAACCTACTTTGCTTTGTTATAAACAGAAGTTGTTTCTCTCCAACTCCCCTTGCCCCAGTCTTTCTTCATTACTAGGCAATGGATATGAGAACTGCCCCTTCGAAATCTTGAGTACCACAAAATACCGACTGATGGACTACTTAAACAGCAGTATTTCTTAGTGGGACTAATCCTGACTGGAAGACCTTTGCCTTCAGCTCTGGCTTGGCTGACATTGGCCCAGTGTCTTTCCAGCAGTGAAGCTATTCTGACTTTCCTTTTCTATTAAAAGACTCTTTCAATTTATCTTTTTAATAGATGATAAAAGATTAAGATAGCTGACTGCCAACAGCTCTTTGGAAAAAAAAAAGAAAGGAAAAACTCAGTGCAATCTCGTGGGCATTACTTCTACATCTATTATTTCTTGCCACTTAAAAACATATTTCTCAGAGTCAATGACATCAATTTGTAGTTTTTTAAAGAACATTGGTCTGGTATAGTGGCTCGAGCCTGTAATCCTAGCTACTTGGGAGGAAGAGATCAGGAGGACAGTAGTTTGAAGTTAGCCTAGGCAAAGTTTGCAAGATCCCATCTCAACCAATGGCTGGGCATGTGTCCCTGTCATATCTGGCTATGTAGGAAAGCACAAATAGGACCATGGCTCAGGCTGGTATGCGCATAAAGCAAGACCCTAGCTCAAAAATGACCAACACAAAAAGGATTCGTGGAGTGGTTCAAGTGGTAGGGCATCTGCCTAGCAAGTGTGAGGCCCTGAATATAATCCCCAGGACCGGGGGGAAAGAAAGGGCAAAATGCTACCAAGGAAACTGCCATGGTAAATTTCTTCCAGCTCTTTAACATCATCTTCACACTTTCAGTGGTTTTAAATTTTCTCAAAAGAGTTGTAATGCTGATGGTGCAAATACCTTCAGCAAAACTTTACAGTTTAACAGGTTATCTCCAAGACATGTTTGCCTTAGAGTGCTGACTGTTTTTTTCTAGTCATAAAAAGAATACATACTTATTATATACATACTTAAAAATTGGAAAATTCAGCAGAGTATTAAGAAATGGGTAAATCATCCACAGTGTAACAACTCAAAGAAATAATCACTGTTAACATTTGGTATCTTTCCTTTTACTCATTTCCTCCTTCCTTATTATTGACAGTGAACTCAAACTGTTTTCACAAGAGTTGCATGTTTCCTCACCCTACTAACATTATGGCATAAGACTGTGCCAAACCAATAAAAATTCTCCATACACATCATTTGTAATGGCCATGTTGTATTCCATAGTATAGATATTATCCATTCTCCCTTCCGGTTATTTCCAACTCTTGTTCTACTATAAATAATGCTGTGATAAACCTTAATGCCTGTATTTCAGATTATTTTCTTTTAGTAATTATTATTTGCAGTGGAGAACACTTAAGTCATTTATAAACACTTTAAGAGTCTTTTTCTTTTTATTCGTTTATTCACATGTGCATACATTATTTGGGTCATTTCTCCCTACTACTCCCCGCCCCCTCCCTTTCCCCTTCACCCCTGTTCCCCAGCTTGCAGGCAGAACCTGTTCTGTCTTTATCTCTAATTTTGTTGAAGAGAAGACACAAGCAATAATAAGGAAGAAAAAGTGTTTTTGCTAGTCGAGATAAGGATAGCTATACAGAGAGATTCCTAGCATTGCTTCCATGTACAAATGTGTTACATCCCAAGTTGATTCATCTCTAACTGACCTTTTCACTAGTTCCTGATCCCCTTCTCATATTGACCTCTGTCGCTTTAAGGTTTCTGTATTAGTTCCTCTGCAGTGGGGACATCAAATACTTTCATGTTTTGGGTTTCCTACTTATCCTCATACCTCCCGTATGTGCTCTCCCCTTATCATGTGACCCAAGTCCAATCACATTGCTGTATTTGCCCTAGATCTAAAGTCCGCATATGAGAGAGAACATATGATTTTTGGTCTTCTGAGCCTGGCTAATCTTGCTCAGAATGTTCTCCAGTTCCATCCATTTACTTGTGAATGATAAGATTTCATTCTTCTTCATGGCTGAGTAAAATTCCATTGTGTATAAATACCACATTTTCTTTATCCATTTGTCAGTAGTGGGGCATCTTGGCTGTTTCCATAACTTGGCTATTGTGAATAGCGCTGCAATAAACATGGGTGTGCAGGTGCCTCTGGAGTTAGCTGAGTCACATTCCTTTGTGTATATCCCCAGGAGTGGGATTGCTGGATCATATGGCAGATCTATGTTTAGATTTTTTAAGAAGTCTCCAAATTTTTTTCCAGAGTGGTTGCACAAGAGTCTTAGTAAATACTATTAAAACTACATTAAACTTTTTCTCCATTAAAAACAAAATCCAGAAAGCTTTTTAAGAAAAATTTGAAAAATAACATATCATCACTATTCATGTTTGGAAAGCTATGATTAGTTTTTTCAAACAAGTCATTTCTGTAGCTGTATCTTTAAACCTAGCAGTTCTGCTTCTAAGAATCTATACTGCAGAAGAAGTTTCATAAATACATAGGTATTTCTGGGGATGTTTACTGTAGCAGTGGAAATCGACCTGAGTAAAGGATAGGTGGGCTTAGACGTTATACACTTCTGCATTATTTGAATAAATTATTGTAAGCATGGACTACTTTTGTAAACAGAAACATCAAAAATTCTATTTTCATCTTCTCCCTGAGTATTAGTTCCACTTGACAAAAATGATTTTTAAAAGAATAATTTTATCTTCTGGAACTCCAGAAAACAAGAAATTCTAAAAACCATCATACCTAATTCTTTAGCATCTCCTCCTGCTGGACTTCCATTTTCCTGTCGTGGTACAAGTGCATTCAGAATAATTTGTGTTGCCCCAAACCTTGGCAAAGTGACATGTGTAAGAAATGGCAAATTATTTTTCTTTGCAAATGCCTGACTTGTTTCTCGCCTCTTCCTGAGGAAGCCGCCTTCGGGAAACAAAACAATCCATTTTCGATCTCTGCTTCTGTAGTTATGCTCCAGATGCTTCTTGAGAAGCAACAGCTGCTGGTCACGAAAAGATCTTCCCTAGAAGGTACACACATAGAATAAAGACAGGTACATCTGAAATTGAAACACCGTAAGATTAAATAGAAATAACCGCTTCTAAATTACAATCCAAGTTACTGGCATTCATATAAACAAACCTTTCTTTCTGAAGGAAAAGCAATTTGCTCTGACTGCCTCAAAAGTTCATTCACCAATTCAGTGGCTATTTACTAAGTGCCTATTACCTGTCAAGAAGAGTCTGAAACTCTAAAGACAGAGGAGTAAACAGGAGGCTCTCAGGGAGCAGATACTCTAGTTTGGGAAGGTAGTGAATATGGAGTAAAAACTCAGTTGGCAGTATGTTTTAGAAATGAAAGAGTGAAAAAATAGAAAGGGTCAAGAGGGGCAAGAGCAACTGCTACAAGGAGGTGAAATTTGAGGAAAAGCTGATAGATGAGGGAATAAGCCACATGAAGACAAGAGGCAGAACACACCAAGTGACAAGAACAAAAAGGACGAGGACCCAGAAGTAGGCATGTTCACAGCCAACGTGGCTGAGGTGATGAAGAAGGCAATCAGTGGGAAGAGATGAAACTGCAGAGGAAGACGGGACCAAATAAAAGGGCCTTGTGAAGGTTAAGCTTTGATGAGAATGCACTGGACAGTTGTTAATGGGGAAGTGTGACAATCATATTTATGTTATAAATAAGCCAAAATCTGCTAGCTCCTGTGACAAAAAGACCATAGGAGATAAGTTTGGAGAGCACAGTAGCCCACACAAGGAATCTGACAAGATTCAACTACAGTATATTCATGAGGAATGGGTACATTTAGGAAAAACTTTGTTATGTTTTTGCAGCACTAGGGTTTGAACTCGGGACCTTGAACCTGCTAAACAGGCACATCTCCAGCCCAGCATTCAGGAAAAACTTTGAAAGCAAAGTTAACAAGACATTCTAATGGACTGGATCTTCCTTGTGAAGGAAAGAGTGGAAACAGGTTGACTTAAAGATTGAAAACAGGAACCTACAACTAAATATCTTAAATGCTCTTCCTTTCAGAATGATCAATTTGCTAATCATTTCCAGTCAACAAAATTGTAAAAACTCCTCAAAATAATTCGTATGCTTTCAGTCTTTAGATTAAATGTATTCAAATGCAAAAGAAAGAAGATATTTTTTTTTTCCTTTTTTTTGGTATACTGGGGTTTGAACTTAGGGCCTCACACTTGCAAGGCAGGCATTCTACCACTTGAGCCACTCCACCAGCCCAGGAAGATACTTTATTGGCTGGTTTACTGAATTGAATTGATTAAGGTAATTTTTAATTTCTCAGGACTACATGTAAAATATTTTTACTATTCTTGGAAGATCTTGTCAAAAATGACTTAGTAGCAAGGTCCCAAGATAATTTTTTTTCAGTACTGGGTTTAGAACCCAGGGCCTTACCCATGTGAGTTAAGCACTGCCAGTAACCTACATTCCCAGTCCTGTTTTTCTGTTTTTTTGTCTTTGAGCTACAATCTCATTAACTTTGTCTGGGATGGTCTTGAATTCTTGATCCTCTTGCCTTTACCTCCTGAGTAGCTGGGATTATAGGCTTACACTACCATGCCTGGTTTAAATTTTTATTATCAGGTGAAAAATGAAATATGAATTTGCAAATCTCTTGTATGCACTGAAGAATACTACTCTTTGTTTATTTAAAACTTTACACTGTAATTACAAGGAAATATTCTGAAGTATATAATTTTTTCATTTCTACCTCTCAAAGTACACCAATAATGTAGCCTTTTCTAGATGCTTGAGGATCATTATTAGAATGAGCAGTCAAGCTGCACTATAAATCAGAAATTAATTCCCTCAGACCTTATGATGTCAATGCCTTGGCTAGTTTTTCCACTGGACTCTCCTAGACTGCTGAGCTTCCTAATTGCTGGTTCTGCTACCTTCTCTGAGATATTAGGGTAGGCTCTTTGTTATATTGGTCTAGTCACTGTTTTCTTTGTCCTGTGGTCCATCCCCACTTCCACTTCTTCCTGAGATTCTAGTCCATGCATCTATTTATCTCTTTTCTGGAAACACCTTTGGTTGTTCTGAGCAGAAAGTAGGTATTTGCACAGCATGTAAAAAACAAAAGCATGTTCTGTACATAAAACTGTGTAGAGCAAACAGGGTATGTCCTATGACACTCATTTTCAGAGCTTAGCTTTCTGTTCACTTCTGGCTTATTTCTATATTTATGGGTCTTAGAAGAGGCTTCATTTGATTCACCAATTACTCATGAAGTACTGAGGTATACTGTACAATTCAGGTTAAAGTTGCTAAATATATAAACATCAAATAAGTGTAGCATTACATACATGGAAACTTTTACATATCATATTTTGGTTTCCATTTTGGAGAAAATAAAAGTATGTGATCCTAGCAGCACATGAGGGAAATACTACAAGGCAGTGCTGACTGGATAAGAGGTCACGTATGATCCTTTTTCCTACAGTATACTTTTCCTCATGGTTGGGACTCTTCTCAATTCATTCTCATCTATCAAATCTATATTTAACTCCTTGTGCCAAATATCATGTTCTCCTTTGGGAGAAAACTTTAGTAAGCACTAAAGCTTTATAAAATGTGAGTGTATCACATAACAGGACCTTGTAAATGAAAATAATAGTGATAATATAGCTAATGACATGGTAATCATGACAAAAATGAGGATGAAGGTAGCAGGAACTATTCTGAGTGCTTTACATGCATTGCTTCAATCAATCCCCACAAAAGTGTTGAAGGAGATTACTCTCTATTATTTTCATGTGAAAAATGAGGAAACGTTGACCATTTAAGTAATTTGCCCAATTCACATAGCTAAAAGCTGAAGAGCAGGGAATGTCATAGGTGCTTGGAAAGTCCATGATAGGCATCTTATTACTTATGCTTACTTAAATTCAGATTTAAATAAATGTTCAGAGAACAAAGACTCAGATGAAGAGCTTCCCAAGACACTAGAACTGGCTGTACTGTTTTGCTATGCCTCTTTTTGTAATCAAGAATCAGTTTGACTGGGCTATTACTGGAAAAAAAAAATGTTTATCACTTACCTGTCTTATAAAGAAGTCTCCATGAATTAGAGAAACAATTCCAAAGTTTGTGTACTTAAAAATATGATCCATCAGCCACATCATTTGAGCAACAACCTAAAATATTTAAAAGCCAGAAATAATGAAATGTTATTGAAGAAATCAGATTGTAGTTCAGCCAAGTCTCCAAGTTTTAAATAATCATCCAAATATATTTCTTAATTAATAACTAAATATTAAAAATCAAATGCTCTTTCTACAAATATAGCACAGTTACTGGTAGAGTTTACATAAAAAATTACAGGTCTTGATTGCAGTGTTAGAAGGCTGAGTCATAGGTAACACACATCACTACACAACAAATGAAGATCAATTAACTTCTTAAATTTGGAATTAATGATTTCAAATTTCTACCACCTAAACAAGGTTTCTGGAAAGTCTTGTAACTTGTAGAATTATATTGAATCAATGCAATAAAATGGTTAGCATTAACAAATGAGGGATGTACACAAAAATTTATAAAATGTGCGTGTGCCTTAATGGTTGAAATATAAAAAGTTATTGTTCAAAATAAGAGAATATTTACAAAATAATCTAATAAAGTGATTCACACAATCTATTATGTTATGAAGAATATTTATTAGTTTGTGCAAGGTCATATTTTTTGCCAGCATAAAAATATTTATAATGCCTAAGTCCTTAAACACAAAAAATATTATCCATTGCTGACAAGAGGTAATTCCCATATTGATAGCAGAATATTTCCTTTTAAGCAAATTCAAAAATTAAAAGTAAGTATAAACAGAATCTAATTAATGAACTGGTTAATTGTTCTTTCCTGAGGAAATAAGCATTTCTTGTTAAAAGCCTTAAATAAAGTGAAAGTTAAAACTGCAGTGCAAAATGCAATGAGCTCTACTTTAGCTTCCCATAGGAATAACAAATGTAAACACCATCTCCAAGCACCAAATTATGTGAACTCACATATCAGGGAAAAACTGAACAACTGACACCCATGTGCTGCTTTTACAAAAGCATTACAAAAGCTCAATGATAACATGTTACAACACCTGCCTTAATTTTTCAGTGGAATAACCCCTATTCCATCAGATTTACTGTATTAAATCACTTTAATGGTTTACAAAAATGAAGCTGGGCATGGTGGTGCACACCTGTAATCCCAGCTATTCAGGAGGCAAACATCAGGAGGATCTCCAGTCAAAGCCAGCCTGGGCAAATAGTTCACAAGACCCTATTTTGAAAATACCTAACATAAAAAAAGTGCTGGCAAAGGTGCTCAAGTGGTAGAGTGCCTGTCTAGCAAGCATGAGGCCCTGAGTTCAAACCCCAGTCCCATTAAAAAAAAAAAAAAGTTAAAAAAAGTTTTAAAAGAAAGACACGTGACCAGTGAAAAACCGAGTCACCACATTAATACAAGTAATACAATCACTAGCATCTCATTTCTCATTCTTGTTTTACTTTCAATGATGAATTCTTTAATTAAATCAAGATTTGAACTAATGGAATTTGTTGAAAAGTGACTCAAGGAACAGACAAAATGTAGATTCAAACTATAAAACATTTTAACTTTATACAAAGTATGAAGTATAGCTGCAATTTATTGGTCTCTGGGTTTAAAACACCAGCACTGTAGTAATTAGCTTTTATGTTTAATCCTTCATTTATGGCAGACTTACCTCTGCAGTATAAGGGTCACCTAAAATAAGTAACAATCTCAGATGGTTTATATTCTGAGATTCATATGGGTAATTCTGACCTCACTTATTTCAGGGGAAATGTTATAAGTTAATAAATGTTTATTAAATGAGTAAGAAGTTTCTTTTGGCCAAAATAAAAATTCCTACTTTCATCATAAGTTTCCATAAAAGGACAAGATGCCTCACTTTACAGACACTAGCACAAATACTAACGCAGTTAGAAATTACAATTATTTCTATGTTTCCTATTCTTCAAGGGGGAAAAAAAAAGGATCAGAGGATCAGTAAACACTGAATCAAGTGATTTAGTGAATTACTAATCATCATTTAGTGAATTAATCATCAGTCACTTGAATCAACCTGGTCAATGTCTGATAGGTCTACATCGATTACTCTTTATCTGGAAGCACAGATTTTCTGTATGTCAAAACATCATCTAGAGTGACTTAAATAAATGACTCCACTGTATGTCCTTTTGAAGTTTTCATAAGGTCAACAATTCTCCATTGATGAGTATGGAAATTTAAAAGGACAATTTTTGTTATCATAATGATTAGAGAGTGCAACCAACACCAGGATAGTTCTTAAACAACAGTGATGTCCTACCAAAATACCAGCAGTGCCAGTAATTTTTAAAATGGTCTACCATTTAGCAATAGCCCTCTTATGAATGAACCCACAGAATAATCAATAAATCAAACAGACATTTGTATTTGTAAATATAACCTAATATTACTCCAGGCTTATCAAGCAGGAGGTAGAGATTATAATGCTTCTGCCCATACACTTCTCAATTTTTCTCTTGTAAGGTAAAATTTTAAAAAGCTCTTCTAGATTTTAAATTATTTGGTAATACCAGAACATTACTAAAAATGTTCCATATTAACTAACTTGAAAATAAAAACAAAATTACTTAGGACAGGAAAATGAACCTAGACAAATTAACTCAGATATTTTTACATAAGCAAACCAACCAATCAACCTTTCTTTTGTCAACCTGACTAATGAATTTCAATTACCTAACGTTCTGGTTAATACTGCTACCATCTTTGCCAAACTGGAGTTTGAATACAGTTAGGCATATTTACACTGATCATTTTAATTATTCTTTGAGATTGAAAAAAAAAATTAAGGACACAGTATGCTCTCAGAATAATTACTATAAGTGCAGTTATTACATCAGTGAGAATAAAAAGATTAGTTAATTGAGTGTTCTCTTTTATAAAAAGCCAAAGTAGTTCTTATAAAATTTTAACATCACAAATTTAAGAGACAAGCAATAAGTATTATCATAGGTACACACATCTTATCTACACAGTAACATTCTTTTAACAATCCAAGATTCTGAACATAAGACAGGATTGAATTTATCATCCTAGCAAGATTATACGTTTTTTTTTTTTAAGATAAACAAGAAAAACAGATCCTGCAATAATCAAACATGTTTTTCTTTTAATCTCACCTTGTTTTCTGACCTTACCCTGCTCTGGTGAATCAAAATCTCTAGACCTAATAATCAGCTTAGATTTATTTTTGCCCAAAATTATTTCACTAAAGAGGACAGCCCTTGCTTTACCACTGTTTCTAACTAAATTCTGCTCATCCTTCAAGGCCAAGTTTTGTCCTGAACCCTCCACAAAGTTTTCTATACCCACCAGTTGATGAGCTCACCTTCAACTAAAGTCCTTTTATTTTGCAAATAAATATTGCTCGTGATACTGTCCCTCCACCTGTTACTGGATTGCTGGCTCCTTGAGAGAAGGATAGTATCTATACTTCTTAAAGCCACTGGCCACGAATATTAAGCACTATTGTTTGGCTTATTCACTGTTAGGCCAAATACCAACTCCATTAATTTTAAACATTATTCATTCATTTTGTTTTCTGTGAACTGAACTTCTTTAACTTCTCAAGTAATAATTCTTTTAATTACAAAGACCAACTTATTTTTTAAAATCCACCTAACTTTATATATTAAATATATAAAGCTTATATTTTAATTATCAATATAAGCAACTTAAAATTAACAGTTCAACATAGTCTTAGTAGAACTAGATAAAAACAAGTCTAATATCAGTGACTGTAAATGAAATTCAAAGTAACTTTGACCTAATTTTCTTCTTGCTAAGATCAACTAATTCACTGATTACTTTTATTTTCCTGTAAAGGAAGTATTAGGCAATACTTCTTTCTGTGTATGTATTCCTCAAAGTGATATTATTTCCCTTCAAGACAGTTCTTAAACTATATTAACTTTGCTTTCATCCTAGTTACTATCTTGAAAGTTTTATTGAGATGTAATTTACACTATCCCAGTTATTTATCTTTTTAAGTCCGTAAGTCTCGCCCTTGGAATGACTTCTAATTATATATTTTTCTTTCCAATATTCTCTGAAGTTATGAGAGAAGTATACATATTAAGTGCAAGTCTCTGTGTCACACGACAGAAAGATACTACCTTCAGGATGGCTTACCAGTCCCTTGTCCTGAAGGCACATCATCAGTGTGCACACATCTCCTGTTGCCTGGTGGTTCACCAACATCACTGCTTCATCTTTTGAAATTGCTTTAATATCTTCTCCCCACTCCATCACTGTAAGAAAAAAAGTTTCAAAGTGTCATTTAAAGATTTTTATATGACTAGAAACCTTCTATTACAGAAAAAATGTATACATTAATGATGACATGTCTCCTAGTTAAAACTGCTGAAAGTTTAGAAGTTTATCACTATAAAAATCAGAATGTTGATATAATTTTTTACAGAGCCCCAAAGTATCCATTAAAATATTAAATAGTCATACTTTTGATGTGGAAGTTCTAGGTCCTAGAATTTATCCTACAGAATCCAAATAGAATTGCCAAATAGGAAAAATATAGGTATAAAGAATGTTTGTTACAACTTAAATGTTTACCAGCAGAGGAATGAACAAGAAAATTATGATATAAAGGAAGAGTATAAATCCATTGAAAGAATACAGAGTATCACTATATACTAACTGCCCAAACTGTATTACCTACATACATACATATATATGTTAGTTATTGTCTAAGGTCCCTAGCTCATAACTACTCCCCAATCCAGGAATAGAAAGTAGAATTTCTCTCCCATGTGGCCAGTCATTGGTCACTCAGACTCTAATCTTCTCTAACCTTCCTTGTCTGATAGAAAAGACGCCCATTTCAGAAGGGATCCTGACAGGAAGGAATGCTGAACAGACAGGCCTTGCTGGGTTTCCCAACCCATTTATTAGCATTTGATGTGCAATGAAGTCTCCATAAAATCCCCAAATCTCTGACAGGGTTCAAAGAGCTGAACATGTAAAGTCCCTGGAAGGTGGCACTCTAGAGAAGGCACAGAGGCCCTCATACACCACCTTCTGTATCTCTTCATCTGTATCATTTGCAATATCCTCTACAATAAAGTGGTAAGTGTGTTTCCCTGAGTTCTGTGACCCACTTGAGCAAATTAATTAAACCCTAGAAGGGAACCCTGATTTATAACTGGCTGGTCAGAAGTACAGGTAAAACAACCTGGGGCTTGTAATTGGCTGTACCACTGGGAGCGGGGACAGTATGAGGAACTGATCCATCAACCTGTGGATCTGATGCTATCTCCAGATGCATGGTGTCAGAAGTGACCTGGATCTGAAGAGGCCCAGCTGGTGTCCATTGTAGAACTGACTGCTTGCTTGGTGTTTGAAGGGAAAAGACCCCACCCACCTGGAGTCAAGTAATCAGTATTAGGAGAGTATAGTAGGAGAACTTGAGTTTTTTATAATCCAGGACTTCTCACATGCTAGGCAAACACTCTGTCACTGAACTACACCCCCAACACTTGGGGTTGAATTTTTCTCTTCACTGTATCTTTGAGGCAAGTCATAAAACAGCATTACACAGCATATCCCATCTTTTTAAAGGAGAAATAAAATTTATGCATTATTCAAGGACAGAAAAAAGCCTAAGGGAATAAATTCCAAACTATTAATACTGATAATCATTAGGAGGTGGTTCCTATACCCTCTAATTTCTACAGTATAAAAAAAATTTGAACATTATAAAAACACATATTTTCACTTTAAAATAAGAAAACAAGTAAGAAAAGTTAAGTTTGTTTAAAATTTCTAAATGAAAAATATTATACCAAAACCTACTACATTCTAAGGAAGAGTAGTATTGGCTCATTTTATAGAGCAAATTTACTTCACAGAAAACATGAAATTGAGCATTAGTTTTCAAAATGTTTGAATTTTACGAGAGCTTCTAGGATTCTTCCAGTGCCTGAAGTGAGTTATCAGAGAGCAACTACACGTTAGTATTCACCTTTACCCTACCCTCACCTAACTGTGGTATGTGACAGTTCTGGATGACAAAGACGGGAGGCCTGGAACCAACCAGCTGCATATTTCCCAGCCTCCCTCCTGCCCACTCACCCCTCACTGTCACCCCAGTATACTGGAGCTCCTCATAATACAGGGAGCTCTTTGTAAGAGTTCATTTGAGAAGAGTGTTCCGCCAATTTCTTCTTTCTGTTGAAACCCATTTAAGCGAGTCATCTATCCCTTCATATTAAAGATCCTAAAATTCCGTACTGAGGAAATTTTCAGCAGTGCTAAAAATACATCAAAGTTGTGGTACCTACATGTAAAATGAAGTATTGCAATCATTCTATCAGACATTATTACTCATATCCAAATAGTTCACAATGTCTATGTAAAAGCATTTTTTTTTTATTTTTAAATGAATGCATATGGAAACTATGTTAAGGAATGATGGCCCATGCTTCTTAGAAACTGAGGCAGGACCTGGGAAAGCCCAGCCTCTTGCAAACTTCAGCAGCAACAATTCCTCTCTGGGGCCCTTCCTTCGCTAAGCTCCCAACTCGGTTCAGCTGACACACTCACTTTACTGAAATCTATTCAAACAACTGATACATTGCTGGAGGAAGTTGAAATTGGTACTTTTTTTTTCTGTACTAGGGTTTGAACTCAGGGCCTTGAGCTTGCAAGGCAGGCACTCTACCACTTGAGCCACACCCCCAGAAATTGGTATACATTTTGTGGAAATCAATTTGGTCAATATATTTGACAATTAAGAAGTGCACAAACCTTTTTACCTAGCAATCCTACTTCTAGGAACTCATCCTGTGTGTGTGTGTGTATATATATATATACTCATTTATGTGCAAAATGATATGTATGCAAGGTTATTTACTATAGCATTGTTTGCAAGAGCCTTTTCATCTTTAGGAAAACAGCTAAAAGGGAGACCAGCTCAAACTCATAGAAATAGAAATGCCAGGAGATGAGGGAAGGGAAAGAGAACAATTGTTTCATGAATATAGTCACCCTTCTTTATCTGCAGTAAACTGGTTCCAGTAGCCCCTGAGGATATCAAATCTGTCAATACACAAGTCCCTTGTAAAAAGTGACATAGTATTCACATGTATCTGTGTTCATCCTCTAATATACTTTAAGTCATCTCTATGTTACTCATGATACCTAATACAATGTAAATTGTTGCTAAACTGCATTGTTCAGGAAATAATGACAAGAAAAAAGTTTATATATTTTCAGTTCAGATGTTAATGTTTCCAAATATTTTCAATCCATAGTTGAATCCATAGTTGTGAAACCCACAAATATGGAGAGCCAACTGTGTGGAGTTTCAGTTTCAAAAGATGAAAACTTTTGGAAACTGGTTGCACAACCATGTAAATATACTTAATATTACCAAAGTGTATTGAAAGAGTTAAGATGGTAACTTTCAAGTTATGTGTATTTTTACACAATTAAAATATTTTAAAAGGGAGACTAGCTAAATGAATAATATCCATGGCATGGACAGCGATGTGATGGGCTACTATGCGACCACAGCATTTGTGTACTAATATGGAGTAATGGACTCTAAGAAAGAAAGCAAAGTGTAACAGTGTGAAGGATGCCATTAGCTGTGTTTTTTTAAGGAAGGAGAATAAATTTACTAAGTTAAAAGTGCCCAAATCATGGTCCTGTTGATAGCCCTTCAATGGAGACAGACAGACAGACAGATACACACACACACACCATATTCTTTCATTCAGCAAATCAGCATCGGGCACTGTTAGTTGTAGATATAAAGAAGAACATTTCAGATATTATTTTAAAGTTAGTAGCAGTTTAAAAAAAGAAAAAGCTTATCTTGGTTCTATAAATATTGGACTAAGATGTGGAAAGTTTTCTTGTTGGTTCCACATCTACATAAATATATAAATGTACATAATTCATAAATAGATGTTTCATAACCAAACATTCCTACAATGGAATCTCTGTTACATGAATGGAAAATAGAATAGTCTCAGGCTCATGCAGTGGAGAAGTATATATGTGATTTAACTACAAATAAAATAATTTTTTACATAAAATGTACCTTATCTGTCTGTTTTATATAATGTAGATAATCTAATAAGTATGATTATTTTAAATATCAAAATATAAATTAACTTGGATCCTTTGTTTTCTAAGACAGTATTTTCTAAGACAGGATTTCCCAGCACAAGCTGGCCTCAAACTCATGATCCTCCTGCTTCAGCCTCCCAAGTGCTGGGATTACAGGTGTGTACCACCACATCCAACAGGATCCCTCTTTACTGGCTCAAATAGTAAGTATATCCCCCAAATCCACATCTACCCAAAAGTTACCAGTCATGTTAAGACGAGGTCATTCTGGAGTAGGGCATGTCCTAAATCTAAATCCAATGTGACATTTGGACACAGACACATACAGGTAGAATGCCATGTAAGGAAGGACCCTTCCCTAGCCCTGCTAACGACTTGATTTCAGACTTCTAGCCTCGAGAACTGTGAAGATAAATTTCTGGGGGTTTTTGTTTGTTTGTGGCATGGGGGATTGAACTCAGGACCTCATGCTTGCCAGGCAGGCTCTCTACCACTTGAGCCACACCTCCACTCAAATTTCTGTTATTTTAAGCCAACTAGTTTGTGGCACTTTGTAATGGCAGCTCCACCCCCAGCTTTCCTATCCCTTTTTTCCCCTTTGTATTCTATTTACCCCCAAATTATAGACTTTTTCATATCAAGTATAGAAAGCATTACATTATGCTTTTATTATCTACAACATTTTAGATTTCTAACATTATGTATGATAAATGGTTACCAATATTCATTTCTAAATATTTTCAAAGTACAATCTTTAAGAGTTGATCCAACATGTTTTATCCTCTCAACCAGAGCTTAGCCAAGACTTACTTCTTGACTCAATGTTAATTTACTAAGACACATAGTCATACAAAAATCAAAGAAGTAAAGGTGGCTGGATTAAATTTTTATCAAGAAATTACCCTAATGCAGCAATAAAGTCACTCTTAATTTTTAATAATCCAAATTTTATTCAACAAATTTAATCTCATATATATGGCTTTCTTTTTTAAAACATACTTTAAGAATCACATTTGTAAAGTTAAATGACTAATAAAATTAAGACAAAAATCATTTGTAGGGAAAGAACAATTTATTTTATATATGAAGTAGCTATGTTCCTCAGTTATCCTAGGATCAGTAAATATAATACAGCTAGTTATCTTAACCAAGGGATATT